ATGTTTTTCCTGCTACGGCTTCAACATCATTTTTTTTTTGTCATCACACAGAGCGCTGACTCGCCACCCCTGGTAGCTTCTCTGGGATCACTCATTACCAAAAGGCAGAAATTCCAACTTTAAGTGAAGAGCAGTCACATCTCAGCAGCCAGAACGTCCGAAAGCTGCGCTGTCCCCTTGCCCTGGGGAGGGCAACGCACACACCTCACGCTTCAGATGGGAGAATCCTTCCTTTTTACCGTACTGGGAGGGATGAAGGGAGGGTGAGCGTCCTCCCCAGCGGGCTCCGTGCGTTAGCACAGGCAGCAGAGCACGCCTGCTGCCTTTTCAGTTCCCTCCCATCCACAGAGCCAGCACCAGAAGAAGCCTGGAAATGCGCTGAAGTAGAGGGAGAGGTGGGCACAGAACTACTGCCAGGTGGCTGAATCCTGAAGAACATCGCTAAGTGACAGTCTCTGTCTTCGAGTGACGGCCACGAGCACGTCCGAGTGTGCTTGGACTCAACCGTGTTCATCAGACAGGACTCACCTGACGGTGACGTTCAGAATCCTTCGTGCACGCTCAAGTCTGACTGACTGCTCTACTTGGCACCACGTCAGCCCGTCATGCTTCTGCAAATGGAAGAGTGCCCAGTACCCGACGGCTGCCTTTAGAATGCTAAAATGTATGCAAAGCCCTTGTTGGTTTGCTTGCATGCCAAAAAGAGGAGTCACTGCCATTCCTCCCAGAGGTCCTCCCAGCTCTTCACAGACCAGCTCTCCTCCAGCAGGGCGACCTGTAACGAGCTTTGGTCTTCCTAGGAATGGGCCGGGCTCACATCCTCCCTGGTGCACAGTCAAGGGGGGCTGCCACGCGTGGCGTGGGTACGGGGTGCTGGGAAGAAGGCGGATATTCCAGTGCAGAAGCACCTACCAGTCTCTGGAGAGGAAGGGCAGTTTGTACGTTAAAGGCAGAGGAATCTCCCCTTTTTCCCCTCGGTCTCTGCTTCAACCTTTGCTGAGGCTGGAGAAAAAGCTCCTGAGGGCCACGGATCTGACTCTGCATTATCACTCAGGCAGACAAACGTTTATGAAAGAATAAGCCATCAACTCTGATCAAACACCTCTTAGTAGCAGAAATGAATCATGCCCTATCGAAAGCTATGACCCAAAATTTACTCTGAAGAAAAAAAAAAAAAGAATCAATTTTATTTTACCAGTTAGAAGACGCCAACCTGAAGCGAGCAGCAGCTGGAAGCTAACAAGAGCTACGCAGAAATAAAGCACAAAGAAGGAAATGTGTAGCAAGCCTCCTTACCTGTTCCGGCCCTTTGTCAAACATTTTTCTTGTCCGGGGGAACTGGTGGGAGTGGGGCGTGTACTGCACCCCCATGTTGCCGACGTTGGCGGGCCTCACAGACGCGATGTCCCGACTGACGGGCTGTTTGGTCACATCGTTTGTCAGGCTGGAGCTGCTTGTACTGGTGGTTGGAGGCGACCCTCTAGAGAGCAAAAAAGATTGGATTTGGGTATCGCTGAACACGAGACTCTCCCATCTGAATTACCTTCCTTTTACTTTGCGCTTCTTACAATTTGTACTTCACCGCTGCGCTTCCTCTACAACCCCAAAACAAAGCCCCACAATCCCCCCCACCCCCTCCAAAAGACATACGAACCCCAAACCAAGAGTGAATGTTGACTGCACCAACTCCAGAGTGAAGATTAAAAAATGAACATGTTGGGGACCTGCGGGTGCAACAGTCCCACACCCCCAGGTCGGGAGGTCTGGCCCCCAGCCCAGCGACCAGCCGCACGAACCCCAAACCAAGAGTGAATGTTGACTGCACCAACTCCAGAGTGAAGATTAAAAAATGAACATGTTGGGGACCTGCGGGTGCAACAGTCCCACACCCCCAGGTCGGGAGGTCTGGCCCCCAGCCCAGCGACCAGCCGCTGGGTTTTAATGGGGAGACTGGGAGTCCTGGCAGCCCACAGAAAAGCATTTTAATTTACATGTAAACTGAGATTTAGCTTATTGCACCATCACGTTATACTAGCTGAAAACATGAAAAAACATCACTGTGGAGTTCTGGGCCCTCCATTCCAACTGCGGATCTTACTGGTGCACACTGGTTGTGGGGCTGCGAGATCTAAAGCCTGGTGATTTCTCTCGGAGAGCAGGTTTGGGGAAATAGTCAAATTTTCAAATCCTGGCTTTGCCCATACCGTTATCTCACTTTCACTGCGGTTTGGGCATCCCTGTTGATCATCAGATAACCCTGACTTTTATCAGCTGAAAGCGCAGAAAATACAGATTAGACTTCAATGGGAAATTTGGGCACCCCTCGGGTCAGACCAGAGCGCACCAGTAAAATCAGCCACAGCTAGCTCTTCCTTTCAATCCGTCTTCAGATAATTAGTGCGGCTGGTGACTCTCTGTGCTGTCAGGAAATACAGGAAGAACCTCCCCACCTTTTCCCAGAGCTTCTGTTTCCGAACCCCTTGCCGGTGCCAAACCGCGAAGCCACCGAGACGTTGGCAGGCTGGCCCTCACCCCACCG